GGTCTGTAATAATTAATTAGCTAGGATAGTTAATTCATTATTCGAATTGTATTATTCTTTTGGTCCCTCCGAGCGAGGGCGAACTTGTATTAAGTGTGGGTGCGTGTGTGCATGTCTTCCAACCCCCACTTCTTTCTCCCTTTTACTTACCTGCTTTGATGGTTAGTAATAGGTCATGTTTAATTTAGCATACCTTATGCTATGCATGCGTGCATCATTCATCAGTATTGCATACACCGGGCTCGGCGCATCATGCTAACTGCATAAAGTATTTCAAATCTAACTTGAATACGTGCTACTTGTGCATTTTCACTTGTCATTTATAGACTAGCTGAGCCTACTCTAGTGACATTCCGTATGTGTTGCATTAGACATTTAAACATGGACTTGGATCATGCATTGATTGCTAACAAGTTCTTTGTTTTGGCACGGAGTACGATGTAAGAATTCATGCTTTAGCATCCTTGCATGCGTGTGAGTGTTGCCATGATAGCATGATTACCATGAGGCTAGCTGCTTATGTGATATAACTGCTTGAATGCCTGTGGGTGAAGGTTGGATTGTCTGAGTTGGAATAGCTCATTGAAATCCGTGTTTTAGCCTACTTGAGTAGCAAATTCCAAAAACATTTTTCCAAAACAAACGGATATGTAATGCTTATTCACAAATTAGGCAATCTAGTCTATACTTTTATGCTGTGCGCATAACATAGTAATTCTAGGCCAATAACCGGAATAAGAACACATAACGTTTTCAAAATTGGATATCATGGTTAGTAGAGGCCAATCTTCGGATCGAGCGAGAGGGGGTGCTCATAGATGACCTTCCCCAATCGTACCCAAGTTCCCGAGCCGAGGCAACTTTGGTGATGACGGACACGTGGCCTTTGGCACCGAGTCAGGGTTTCCTAAATTCCCCCAAAATAGAATATTTAGGTGGCGACTCTGTATCTAGCAAAGCAATCCACGTTTGGCACTTCTTTTCTAAAAATCTGTTTTCTCAAAACGATTTGCCGGATTTGGACTCTTTGGTTCAGATTAAGGACCGTGACACAAATCGAGTCCGAACTGTAGCACGAGGGCCTCACGCGAGCGCGTCTACACCTTGTTGTCTTGAGATCACGAGTTGTAATCTCGATTTGCGTGTTATAGGAGTACTGTGCAATGAAAGCCTCGGCCATCTCATCCCAGTTCCGCTTGACATCGTCTTCCAATTTTGCGTACCAGATGGCCGCCACACCCGATAGGGTCCGGCCAAACAATGAAAGCTTCTATAGTCTGGTGAGGCCCATCGGCCTTAGTATGTCCGAAAACAATTGTAAATGCACCATGGGATCCCCGGACCCGTCAAAGCGGTCGATTTGTGGCATCTTGAACCGATCTGGCAGCGTCACAGCCGCGTCGGTATACCCGTTCTCAATGTCTGGGATGGACATTACCCCTTGGGATTTCTTGAACAACTTTTCAAGCTTGCTCAACTTCAATGCCGTAGGGTCCACCTCGAACTCAAAGGGAGAGTCCGGTTGATTGATAGGCGTAGGTGCCTTGGATAGTTGAGGTAGAATCGGGGGCGGAGCCGGCCCTGTTGGGATGTCTGTATCCTCCTAGATATTCTGGACATTTGGTGTCTCCCCGGGTAGTGGGACCTTTGGTGGGAGAGGAGCTTGGTGTAAAGCAGATGCTCCGGTTTGCTATTGTAGCCGGGTAATTAGCTCTGCCTGTTGGGCCATGACAACAGCCTGCTGTTTAGCAAATTCTGCTTGACGAACAGTGTCCTCCTGCATGGCTTTCATGCTTTCCTGGAGTTGACGCACCATTTCTTCCATCCCTGACATACTGCCTTGATTTATCTGAACTGCCGGTATGTCTATCTCTGTAGTAGACTCGGAAACCTCAACCTGACTGTTCAAAGACCACTGATCTAGCAATCTCTATACCGATACACTGTGCCTCACTCCGTCTAGCAACCGGGGGTAAAGAGTAGAACACTGGTTGTCTGTCTACCAGATCCTCAGATCGATGGAGTCGACGACCTCTAGTCCAGTGTGCTTGGGGAATATCTGCTTGGTCGGAAGCAACTGTGCTAAACTACCTAGCAAAAAGATAAATAAAGCGTAATAAAGAAATAAACAACCAGACAAACGGACAACATAATAGCGTAAATAAACACACAACACACAGTTGGGCATCACAACACATAGTTGATAAGTTGAATAGACTGTTCTCAAATACTGATCATTGTTCCCCAAATCACTACCCCCAAAACTGAATCTGATACCCGTAGATAACTGACTCCCAAAATACTGAACTGGTGCCCACAGGCCTGATACCCAAACTTGCAAACTGATACATGCATTCCTGTAGACACACACTCTAAAAGCACATAGCAAACAAGTGAGAGCCCAAAACACCCCTATGTTGGGGTAAGGTTTCCCTGTCCTATTTTGCCAGGACCTAGGGTTTCACTACGCACGCAGCAGTTTCAAACAACCTATAATCGGGTAAACAACCTGTCCTAGCTTGGAATGGTCACTATGGATTCCGAATATGCACTAGGTCGAATGGTCAAAAAGGGTGCCTCGGTAAAAATCGGGGTTTGTGTTCCCATCGTGGCAGAGCCCGTAATTGGTCAGCCTTATGGCACGCTTCTCAAAGTGAGCCTCTGGCAAACCATTCAGGAATAGCAGATGGCAAACACCGTGTCCTAGACACACCAATGCACATGCAATGCAAAGAAACACATAAGTGTAATCAAAACAAGATATCATGAGTTCGAGTAAAGTTCTCTAACTCCCCAACAGAGTCGCCAGAAACTGTAGACGTCCCCAGACGTCCCCAAACGTCCCGGAAGGGAATCCCGTTTTGTTCATTGCGCTTACTATAGTTCAGACTCAATGTCACGATCCTGTATCTAATCTCGCAGAGTGCAATGCAAGATCGATGAATCATCAAAGAGTCCAAATCCGACAAATCGTTTTGAAAAATTGATTTTTAGAAAGAAGTGCCAAACATGGACTGCTTTGCCAGATACAAAGTCGCCACCTAAATATTTTATTTTGAGAGAATTTAGCAAACCCTAACTCGGGCCTAAGCCCACGTGTCCATCATCACCAAAGTTGCCTCGGCTCGGGAACTTGGGTACGATTGGGGAAGGTCACTTCGTGAGCACTCCCGCTCACCCGATCAAAGATCGGCCTCTACTAACCATGATATCAAGTTTTTGAAAGCACATGTGCTCTTATTCCGGTTTATTAGCCTAGAACTACTATGTGATGCGCACAGCAAAATAAGTAAAGACTGGATTGCCTAAGTTGGAACAAAGCATCGCATATCTGTTTGTTTCGAAAATGAATTGAAGTTTGCTACTCACAAGTAGGCTAAAACACGGGTTTCGACGAATTATTCCAACTCAAGCAACCCAACCTTCACCCACAGGAATTCAGGCAGGTATATCACATAAGCACATAGCATCATGGTAAGCACGCTATCATGGCAGTCACTCACACACATGCAAGGATGCTAAAGCATAAATACTTACCGAGTACTCCAAGCCAAAACAGAAACTAGTTAGTAATCAATGCATGATCCTAGTTCATGTTAAGATGGCTAATGCAACACATGCAAAAATGCAACTAGGATAGGCTCGGCTATTCTAAACATGGCATATGAAATGTAACAGATAACATGTATTCAACTTGGAATTGAAATACAATGCAGTTAGCATGATGCGCCGAGCCTAGTGCATGCAATACAGATGAATGATGCAAACATGCGAGCATAAGTATGCTAATTGAAACATGCCCTAAACTAACCACCAAAATCTAGTAAATAAAAGGGAGAAAGACGTGGGGTTGGAAGACATACATCACACACACACACACTTATTACAACATTGCCCTCCTCAGAGGATCCGAATAATACAAAACCAGATGAATAATGAACTACAGCTAATTATTACACGACATTAACTAATTAACAAAATAGCTAAGTAAGCATGTAAACTAAATCAATGTGACTGCCTCAGCTCTGTTTTGGATGACAATGGATGTGTGCGTGCTTGAATCGCCTTTGTCGGGAAATCCATCGCAAAGCCCTCGACTCACCTTTGTTTGCAATTGATTTCAGAAACTTGCACAGAGCTCCAAGAGGCTGAAACTCCACTCTGGAAGGCTGTGGGAAGGCTGCCGACCAGCCCTTGGCTATGGAGACCACCTGCCAACCACCCTTTGTGGTGGAGACCCAAAAGGGTGGTCGGCTCGCCAGAAAATCTGGTTGGCCGACCACTTTCTGCCCCTGGATTCTAGTTTTCTGCAACACAAAGCAAAATGGAGG